GGACCTGCCGTCTTCAGCGCCCCCCTCCCCGCCCCGCCTCCTCTCGGCCTGTTGCGCTCCACCTGCCATTTCTTTCCTCAGGTGAGTTCTTGCCCCTGCCTGTGAGATCCCAGTCCTGGTGCAGTAGAACTCACTCCGCCTGGGTCAACCTCGGAGCCCCCTCACATCTCAGTCCTGGTGCTGAGTCTCTCAAAGCCCCCACTGGGCCATCGTGCCCCCCTCCCAGCCAGTCCCCTATGTCCTGTCCTGACCCCACTCCCAGCCAATACCGTCCCCCAGCTCAGCTCCTGTCTCTCTACATCCCTGTCCCTAACCAAGTCCCTTTGGAGTCTCTGGCCCCTCAAAGTTCCAAAACTCCTCGTCCCAGTTCCAGGGTGGAGGGCACTTTATCAAACCCCCATTTTTGCACGGTCCTTCCCTACAAGTGCCCAGCCCCTAAGACCACTCTCCAGCCCCTTCTGTGCTGAGTCTACCAAGTCCATGACCTTCACTAATCTTCAGGATGCACCCCCACACACACACCAGCCCAGGCCTTTAAGAGCTCCTGTCCCCCTCCCTGAGTCTGACCTCCACCATACTTAGCCACTCTCGATAATTCAGTTCACTAACAAAGTTGGTTTTGGATCCTGTGGCCTTTTGCAAGTCAGCCTGTCCCTGCACAGGTGCAGAGTCTACTCCTCTGTCCTCAGAGCCAATGTCCTGCTCCAAAGCCCTGGACCTTGGTCCTTCACTGTGATCCCCCAACACTGGTAACCTTGGAATCTAGTCCACATAGCTGCAGGGCCTCTCTGTGAGCCTCCGTCCGTCCCACCAGGGACCCAATCCTGAGGGTGATCTGTTCCACACTTCATTTCCCCTAATGCCAACCTCTCAGCTGGAATTTCTCCTCACACACACACACACACACACACATTCTCATTCTCTCTTGAACACTTATTCTCAGCTGATCTCCCAGCTCCAGAAAAGTCCTGATGAGCCTCCCCTTCCCTGGAGAAAACCCCAGCCCTCCCTTCCACGAAGCCCCCTCTGCACCATACAGTTGCTGGATCTGAGTTAGGTCCTCTTCACCAGTCTGCTGGCTGGGTTGGGCCCAGACCGTGCTCCTAGGACCCCTGAAGCTATACTGATGCCCTCCTCTCTCTCCAGCCTGTCCTCTTTTCCAAGCTCCCATCCTTCTCCTATGAAGCCTTCTTCTGGAGCCCTCTTGGTTTGTCTCCAGCCTCTCCAGGACCCTCCCTCTTCCCCTTCTCCCAATCCCTCTCAGGAACCCATTCCTGAGTGAGTGCTCACCAGGCCCTGCCTCTGTACCCTTTTTCTTTGGAACCTCAGTGCTCTCTGAGCCCAGATCCCTTCTGGGAACCCTTGTAAGCAGGAGAAGTCCTGCCCCCTCTAAAGTCCCACCCCTCCCAGTACAGGCCCCGCCTCCATCCCCACACTGACCCCCTAGCTCAGCCTTAGCCTGGCATGTCAGGAACCCACAGCTTGAAGTAATCTTATATGATAGCACCCTGAGTGGGAAGAATTCCCAAACTCAAGGAGCCCTCCCTCCCTTTTTGGAGCCCAGCCTTGGTGCACAGACCCAGAGGCCCGTGGGTGGTAGGGGACCAGGCTGTTTGCCTTTACCTAACACTACCTCCCCTTTCCCAAGGGCCTAGCACTGGGGAACCCAGACCCAGCATCCAGATGCGCTGAGGGCTGGGCCCAACTTAGGTGCCCTCTGCAGCTTGAGACCCTCCCTGCCTCGCAGCCCTGTCTGGTGCTGCGCTGGGCAACAGCAGCATAGCCAGGGTGGCCAAGTGCACATCTCAGGCAGCAAGAGAGATGCTTGGACCTCAAGGCAGGGCTGCTCAAGGTCCCTGGCAAAAGCGGTCAGGGCTCTCTCCCTGCGCCCCACCTTGGGGAGCTCTCTCCAAGGCCTCTGAAGCCCCCACTCTGAGATGGCGGGTGAAGGGACTGGCCTTGGGTAGGGACCCCCTACAGATTCTCCAGGCCAGGAATCTCTCACCCAGAGGAGCCAGATGGTGCAGAGCAGGGCCGAGTTTCAGCCATGAGGGGCCCCAAAGCCAGTCAGGCAGTGGGGCCTGTTACTTGCTACATCCTACAGCCAGGGAGGCCTGAGGCTGGATTTGAACCTGGAGTCAGACTCCAGGGTCCTAAGAATCCTAACTGGCTGGATGGAGCCCTACTCCTTGGGTAGCTGCAGCCCTGTGCTTGGGCAGGAAAGGAGTCAACTCAGGCCCAAGCGGCAGGGGAGGGGAGGAGTTTCCTCCCTTCGGCCTTGGTGCACAGTGTCTGATGACACTGGTCTCCAGAAATCCTGCCAGGCCCTGCGGATCTCTCCCCAGCTGCCTACTCGTATTTCAGGCGGAGAACAGTGGGCACATATGCACTGGCATCCTGGCAACTCTCGGTGAATGTTCTAGAGAAAGTGCCTGGTATAGATTGGCCCTGGGGTACAGGCCTGAGAGCACCATGATGGGAAACACCCTTCATCCAGCAGGCTGAGGGTGCCAGAATGACAGGATGACAAAGGTCACACTTACCCTTTTTCCTGTACCTGCTGAGTTCAGGACCAGATTCCAAAGGGAATCCCGGCTCCACCAAGTGTTCACCAACTCCTACCAGTCCTTCAAACCTTCTTAGCTGCTGTCTTTGCTGCATATAGACATATGCTCCTGCCCTCTTTCCTCCCAACAAATAAGACCACTCAGGAGCTAGCCAGCACTGTCTGTAGCAGTTGCAACCTGGGGGTTCCGAGTCTGGCCTCAGGCAGATCTGCTCTAACACTACATTGGCTCACACAGGCCCAAGCTGCTCCCAGTTGGGAAAGGAGGCCCAGTTAGGAGGAAGGTTACACACACCACACCCAGCCTGTGCAAAGGCCTCTTCCCCGGGCCCAAGGCAAGTGGGGAGACCTGCTAGGGTCCCAGTACTGTTGTTTTTCTTTGGGGCAGGAATACTGCCAGCATGGACCACACCTGTGAATCCTTTGTGCCTTAGTGTAGGGGCTTAGTGTAGTGTAGTGGAACAATGTGCCAGGCCCTACCATCTAGCCTAGAGCCAAGGCCCTATACTCTGGTCACTGTTGTAGGCCTCAAACAAGGCAGCTCTTGCCAACCATATATTGGCCACAAGGCTCAACTGTCAGGCTCAGCCTTGGTACCCTTAAGCCCATGCCTGAGAGCCAAGCTTGGGCACACCAGGGGCTTCCCTTGCCTGGCCTTGAGTCAGCTCTTCCACTCAGCACAGAACAAAGAACATGCACACAGAAAGAGGCCCAAACAATTTTATTTTCGTAAAATCACTGTGGCTCTCAGTCCCTGGGGAGAGGGCAGCAGAGGTCAGCCATAGTGGGGAGTCTGTGCTGCCCACCTAGGCCAATATGTGCCCACTCCAAGCAGATCACACCGCAGGGTGACGCTGCAGCCCCTTTGTCTGGTTTTAGTCCACAGGCTCCTCTGACCTGTCAGGCTTGTACAGAGGCTGGGGTACGAGGATGAGTGTAAGCCGCAGAGCCAGGCTGAACAGAGGGATCTCGGGTGGGCCAGTTTCCAGAGGAAGACAGTCTGTTGCAGGGCAGGGGCTCCTGGGATGCACAAACTGGGCAGTCACCAAGCCCATGCTGGGTCTTCCAAGTAAGTAACAGACCTGTGCACTGGACCGGTCTCCACCATCCTCAAACACACCAGCAGTATTTTCACTCCAAGGAGGGAAAGCCACAGAACAGTGATGAGCTCAGGGCCTCCAGAGCCACGTGGCGAGTGTGTAAGTGTGTATGAGTGGGGAAGGGGCTGGAGGGCTGGGCAGCCTCCTACTGGACTCCGGGCCATTTCTCCACCACTGGACAGAACTGAGCTAGAGCTTGGAGGCCTGGGCGAAGCCCACCCTGTTGTTGTCTCGGTCGAAGACGGTGTAGTAGCGGCCAATAAAGATGTCACCCAGGATCCAGAGAGGCCCGCTGGGCGGGGGGATGTCCATGCCCATGAAGCCGCTCAGGCAGATGGTCTTCCCGCCTTGTGACACCTGCATGATCGTAGTGGTCACCACGGGGCCTGCCCACCCAGCAGCACCCAGCAGCACCCTGCCCACATCCACTTACCTTGAGAACATAGTCCTCTGGGGTCAGGAGGTAGTCATTGCCTCCAAGCTTCAGGGTGATTGAGGGCAGGCTGGACACCTTCTCACAGGGGACCATATACTGCAAGAAGAGAGGAGTGTTGGGGTGCAGCCTCAGCACCCCTCTGCTACCCACTGGTTCACCAGCCATCTTGCCGTGCTCACCTCGCCCTGGATCAGCGGTATGGCCCCAATGGCCTTCTGCAGCTCCTTTACTTCATCCACGGGACCCACCAGGAGGGAGGTGCCTGTGTCCACGATGGCCTCACAGCCCCCCTTGCACAAGTTCAGCCCTTTGCCCACCTCCAACCTGGGGATGGGAAGACACGAGTTCCTGCACTGGGTCCAGGGTCAGAGAAGAACTTAGGGTAGGTAATGGGGGGTAAGGGGGATGCCCTGGCCCCAGCTATGGACTCTGCTCAACCCTGAAGCCATGGGCCAGCAAGTGCTGTAGCCTAGGTAGGGCGAGGGAGGGGCCGGCCACACTGCCCCAGGGACCCCGTGTGCCACCCCTGCCCCAGAAGTATCCCAACTCACTGGTCCATGTGAACCTGCCAATAGGCCTTGCGGGTGACGTTCAGATAGGTGAAGGAGCCTTTGTAGTACTTGCTGTCAATGCCACCCAGCATGAGCTCCCCACCAGGATGTGCACTCGGGTCCCTAGAGAAGGCAGGAAGCAGTCAGCATCTCTCACCCTAGGACAGGTGGCCCCTAGCAGCCACCAGAGGACTGGGTGGACCAGGAGGGCAGCAGGAGATGGGCTTCCCGAGAAACACCCAGAGAGAAGCAGAAGCTTCCTTCTTCCTGGGGAGGGAATTCAATCCCATGCCCTACATAGCCTGTTCCCAGCAGGAGAGAGCTGGCTAGTACTCTGAGGACCCAAGACTTAACCATAAGTGGTCAGATCAAGGTTGCAGGACAGACAGGGAAGTATCAGGGCACCAGGGAGGGCATAACTCTGGAAAACTGAGGAGGTGTCTTGTTTCTGCTTTAGGTTCTTTGGACTTCTTGTTCCAGAAACAACCTACACCCCACAGCCTTGCGAGCGCCTTTAAATGTTTCTCTCACCTTCTCCCCATGTCTACTCTCTTACTTAAGACACCTTCTCACAGCAAGCCAAGGTGCCCGTGAGTGGAACGTGGGCCACTTGCTTCCAGCTTTCTGTGTACTGTACCCCTAATGCTGGAGACTTTTTTTTAAAAAGGACAATGGGAAGGCCAGGATTTTGTTGTCTCCTGGCACGTCCCTGACTGCACTTACCACCCTCCTCCTGGCTGGTGCCTGCACTCAGAAGCCGTCCTCCCACCCGAGGCTCCTCCTGCCTCCAGCCTTTGCCTCCTGTCATCACTTTTGAAATCATAGGTGTAGAAAAACCTGACCGGCGCCTTGTTGCTCCTCTCTTCCGCCCACAAGCCTCCTCTTTTGAGCCCTGGGCCCCTCACCCTGCTGACTTCACTTCTGCCCCCACCCAGACGGCAGACAGGACCCCAGACCAGTGCCTCTGGTGGTCACACAGGTGGGTCTCAGCTTCTTCACTTCACTTCCTCTCTTGCACCTAGGGGCAGCCCAGGGAAATGATCCCAACTCTCCACCTGCACCCCAGCCTCCAGCTAGCTAGCAGCTCTGCCCAGAGTCCTGCTGCTAAGAAGCAGTCACTGACCCAGCAAGGAACAAAAGAGTGGACACAGAGCCTAGGATGGGGGCAGAGAGGATTGGGTAGGAATTCTGCACTGGGTAGGAATTCTGCCGGAAGGAGCCCAGGACTTGGGGTCAGGGGTCAGGCCTAGAGACCTGAGAGCAAACGGGCACGAGAAAGGTAACTGTGGCTAAGGCATCCCTAGAAAGGGTGTATGCAGGGCAGTGGCTGGCACAGCATTGGTTTGGGAAGCCACCTGCTGATTCCCTGCCCCTCCTGGGAGGCAGAGCCCTGGCAGTGAGGTACCTGACACCCAGCTACCCACTTCTGTCTGCGGCTCCTGCCCAGGAACCAGCACCATCATGAAGAGGAATGGAGGCCCCCTGCAAGGTTCCCTGACTAGAGATCTCCATGTTGGGCAGCAGCTGCATGGGGACCTGTCTTGTTGGCAGAAAGGTCTCCCATGTTCCCTTTAGGCCACAGAATCTTTGGGAAAAGCCCTGGAAGCTGTTTTCCCTCCACGTGGAGACTAAGGTTCTGAGTGTGCTCCAGCATCCGCCTCTTGAAGCCAACCTAGAGCCATCTCCCTTGGAGGCCCTGTCATGGATCAGGGCTCACAGCTGTTTCCCTCGGGGCCATTAGCAGCCCCAACTGGGATCCCATTTGCCCTCTCCAGATCCAGGAAGCATGAGGCAGACTGAGCCAGGAACTTCACGACCCCAATCAGGTCCAGTCCCCACAGGAAGAAAGGCCATGGCAGCCTGGATCCTGGGAACCGGGCCCTGCCCAAGCTCTTCCTAGCAGTAGACCTTGACATGACACAGCTTTCTCAGGAGGCTGTGTGCTTACCCCTATGAGGGTGATTCATTCATGTCTCAAGATACCATCAGGCCAGAAGTCAGGGACTGTGGCCACATGCCTGATGGCAGTCACAGGCTCCAACCCCTATCCTGGGTTTCAGCAAGGCTGAGTCCAGCAGAACTGGGGGAATTATGCACTTTCTCTCCAAGCCCACCTGTTTAGGAAGAAGGAGAAGACATTCTTTTCCATCAGCTTCTGATTCATCAGGTTGTCAAAGACCGGCAGGACATTGTTGACAGAGATGCGGGGGTAAGCCATGCCCAGGATGCCATCAAACTTGGCCACAATGAAGGTGATGCCTGGCTGCTTGGTGGCCTCCCCAAAGGTCTGCTTCTTCACTTTGATGTTGCTGGGCTTAGACTCAGATGATTTACAGGGCACCTGTGGGCCAGGGCAGGGGCCATTTGGCCATGTATGATGACTGTGTATGTGAATACCCACCTGGGGCACAGGTGGCAAGTTATGAAGCCTAGCTCAGTGACACCCCTCTCCTTACACACACTAACTAGGCAGGCAGAGAAAGCATGAATGGAAGGGTTGAATACAGCCAAACACAGCAGGAGACGAGTATATGGTGTAGGGGTGGGTGGTGTCCTCTGACCTCTGCTCACCGGGCCAGTCTTGCTTCTACCTTTGAGCTTGGGGACAAGATGCTGAGCCTGAGCCTGCAGCCCAAGAGGCTAGGGAACCAGATGGCTCCCCAAGCTGAGGCTGCAGATAGACAGTGGGCAGAACAGGATGTGGGTTAGCTGTGTGGGGCTGATGAAAGAGAGTGCGTTAGGCAATATCCTATTCAGGTGGGGGGCCCAGTGAGAAAAGAGACCCAAAGCAACATTACAGACAGGTCTCCGGGTGTTGCAGGGAAAAGCCACGCCTGTTCCAGTTTGGCAGCACAGGCACGAGGGCCCGACATGCCAAGACACTGGCAGTATTTTGGTCTCCACGCAGCAGGCCCAGCTGAGACACCTGCCCTCTTCCCCTCCCATCCTGACACGGCACCCCTCTCCTTTCTCACTCCCTAGACCCATGGCCTTGCCCAGTAAGGACTCAGAGGTGCAGTCTGTGGCCTCCAGCCTTTCCTTGCAAGACCCTCCACTGCAGGAGGCCTGATGGCTGTCCCCTGGTAGCCCTCCCCTCCCCTCTACATTTCTCCATAATGTTCCTCCTCTAGCATCTCTGGACAGGTGTTTTCTCGCACATCGCACCCTTTCCAATCCTTTGGGATCCCTCAGCCAGGCTCAGACACCACTCTATCCCCAGCACCCCTGGCCCGATGCCCCCTCAGACCTGGCACTAGACACCCTGCTGGCTTTCAACCCAATGCATTCAAAACAGAATCCCATCCTCCTAGCCAGGTCCACCCTTCACACCACACCAGAGAGGGATCCTGCCTCTCAGCACCCTCCCATGGGTGCTGTTGTGTCACACCGAGGTGTGGCCATCCTTGCCTGCCCCAGTACTGCCTCTCTGCTCATCACCTCCGGACTCCCAGGGAACCCAGGCCCTTTCATCCTAGGGCTCCTTGCCGCTCCTTGCCCATGACAGATCTTCTTCCCCACAAAGCACTGGAGCCCTTCCTGTCCCAGCCTTCACTCAGATGGTACCTCTGCCTAGCAGACCTAGCATTCTCAGTGATCTGCTACTGGTTCTCAAACTCAGCAGCCCCACTCCTACCCCGAGTTGGGATTGGCCTGGGACCACCATGCCCTTTCTTTCAGCTCCAGGTGCACAGGTGAATCCTTGGCCACAGCTGACACCTCCAGCCCCAGGAAAGGCCCTGGGGGACTCACCGACACAGTGTCCTGGCTCAAGTACCCAGAAAGGCTGCCCGAGCCATAATGGATGTTGAAGGACGAGCCATTCTTCATGTAGGTGCTGGACTTGTCACTGTGGTACTTGTGGTGGAACCCTGCAAGGGGGCAGGAAAGGACATCAGCCTGCCACCCAACCCACTATAGACCACCTTAGCTAACCCACCATAGGGAACCCTGGACTGTGGGCTGTGACAGTCCCTGTCCTGCTCTCAGATCAAGTGGTCCAGCTCACAGCTTGCTCTCATCTACACCAGCTCAGTCCTAATCCTGTTGAGGCAAGGCCAGCACAAACAAGTTCACCTACAGACTGGGGTGCCCTAGGGCAGGGCAGAGGAGCCAGCCAGTTTGATGTGGTTGAGAAGCCAAGCACATATTGCCCAAGAGGTTTCTCGTCCCGTTTCCCAGATGGCCCTGCCGCTGGATATCACAAAGGCTGCACTCCCCAGGGGGAAAGCAAGTATTTGAAAAACTGGAATGGACATGGCTACTTAAGGCTCCCACACCAGAGCTTTTGCCTGACCATGGATGAGTGCGAAGGGCAGGCAAGTGTCAGGGCAGTACATAGCTGGGTATCTGGAAGGGTACAGAGCCCTTGGTCTCCCCTCGGGGCACCCAGGCGGGACTGGAAGCAGGAGGACAGACATGGAAGACTCACAGCAGGCTATGTCGAGCATAGAGCATCTGGAAGAGGGGACCCACAGGTTGGAGGAGCCCGTGTCAAAGACGACTGTGAAGCACTGCGGCGGGGTTCCGATGCCAATCTCCCCATAGTACTGAGCCTGGCAGAGACAGTGTGCATCAGCATGAGGGGAGGCAGGCAGGCACCCCAGTTCTCCACTGGGCCTGAAGGGCCCCTGCTGTCCCAGACTACAGGGAGAAGGGCCCTGAAGTCCACTTTCACCTTCTGTACCCGGCAGACATTGGTAGAAGGTGTAGAGTGTTGGGGGGGGGTTTCCTAAGAAACAGGCTTCAGACCTGGGCCCAGTCCTCAGTCACAGGTACTCATGGTTTCTCCCTAGAACTGCGGCACCCACATGACATGGCATGGCCAGGCAAGGACTATAATATTCAGAAGATGAGGACTGAGGTCAGGCCTGACCCTTGACCTGGGCTCAAGTGCTAGAATGGCTGGCCTGGTAGACCTTGCCATTGTCCCAGTAAAGAGGGTGACACTTCCTTCCCAGACCAGGCCTTATTCTGGTGACCTCAGTTCCTGCAGTCCGGAGTCAGCTGGACCCTGCTTGCCTGGCCACCCTGATTTCTGGGAGAGGGCTTGGCACTGTCTACACAGGACCTTGGCTCTCATTCCACCAGTCCTCTAACCCTTTGGCTCCACAGAGAAGTGGCTTCGGACTCCTGATCCAAGAGAAGTAGGGGTGGGTGGTGACTCAGCAAATCTTTAGTCTGTGTGGAAGTGTGTGCACATGCTCTGGGGGGACTGGGACTGGCCAGCAGCCCCCAGGGTAGGTGGCCCCCACCTCCTCCAAAGTCACATGCTGTATCTCAAGCTTCCTGTCACAGCTAGGACTCCTGCCAAGCAGGACAGAGCACAGTCATTCCCCTGCACAGGGCAGCCACAAAGCCCATGCTAAACAGTGCCAAGGACTTTCAAGACTCACTCTGAATCAGGGTCTTGGGCTGCTGAAGAGATTACAGCATTTGGCCCTGAACCTGCCCCCAAATCTGGAACATGCTGGCCAAGCCCAGCTTGCCACACGGCTTCCAGAACACTCTACCCCGGAGCCTATTTCCATCCCAAAGACAGTGGGACAAGAGTGGCTACCTACTGGGAGAAGATGGTGAGGGGAAGGAACTACACACAGTGTCACCCCAGGCCTCTCACTAGACAGGCAGGAAACAGAGACTCCAGTTATACCCAGACAGGCACAAAGGCCCGGGTTCCACACCTCACAACTTCTGGGGTAGGATTAGGGCAAGGCTGGGATTGATCTGAGGCTCCTTTGTGCCCCCACAGAACAGTCCTGAGGATTAGATACCACTATAGCTCTGAGCTGGTGGTCAGTGCTCAAGATCTGAGGAAGAGTCATCCCAAGATACCAAGGCCAGCCCCTAACCGGCCCTCTCAGCCCCAGTAGCTCCTTAGAGGCAGGATCCCAAAAGGAAGCAAAAGGGGTGGGGCGGAGCAGGAAGGGTGGGGCCATGAACAGCCCACCAAACAGGTGTACCAGTCAATTTCCTGGCTGCAGAGTAAGAAGGCAGTTTTCACCAACTCATATAGCCAGCACCCCAAACTCCTACCCTCAGTGCACCCTGATCCAAACTCACATCCATGTAGTTTTTCAGTATCTCTGGAACTGGACCTGTGGTCTTGGTGGACAACTGTGGTGAGTACTTAGTCAAGGGACCGTGGGCGATCAGGTCTTCAATGGAGCCCCCAGCCTCCGTCATGGTGCGGCGAATGGATGTGAACTTGTGCAGGGGAATTCTGTCAAGATGGGGTGGGCCATGTCAGAGAAAGGGTCCAGACACATTCTCTTCACCTCCCACCCTAGGATACCCAAGCATGGCGAGGGCAGCCCTCTAGCATGCTGAGACCACCTGTTAGCCACCAGGTGCCCATCAGCTGCCTCCAGGGTAGGTCCACCTGGATATCCCTGGAAATTTCAAACTCTGCATGGCTTAAACCAAACTGCTGCCCTAAACAAAACCTGCAGACCCAGTAGCCCTCAAATCACCAAAGAGCAACCCATCACCACCCCTAGGTGGCTCAGGCCAAAGTCCTGGAAGGCCCCTGTACCCCACACTGACTCTGCTCCTTATACCCCACATTTAAACTGGAGGCCTGTGTGTAGGCCTGTGTGTCCACCTCTGCTGCTCCCCAACCACCCTCAGTCACTCCAGAAGCCCCTGCTGGTCTGTCTCCTTTGTGCACCTCTAATTTTGTCCAGGATGGAAACAGGTAGGGGTCTGATTAAGGTGCTGCTGGGGACCTGTCACTTCTGCCTGAAGCCCTCTGTGGCATCTATTGCACCTGGTCTTCTGGCTACATCTGCTCTCCAATTGGACTCCACACTGAGGTGGTCCCTTCTAGGCCTGCAATGACACACCTGCCAGCCTGACCTTCCTGGTGGATTCTCCTGGCCATCAGAGGGGCTTCAACATCAATCCTAAGCCCTCCCTGACCACTGCAGCAACCCTTCAAGAGCCATTTCCTAAGCCCCATCTCCTTCTGTGTGCTCACAACCATATACATCTTGAGAGTTCAATGACTGTCCCAAGGCACCAGAGGCTTCTGTGTGTCCTCCATAAGGGGTTTTGGCATTCTGGCTCAGAGCATTCCTCCAGAGGCCTGACTGAGGTGGCCTCGGGGACTGACCTGTGCAGGAGGGGAACTAGAAACTGTTCTGTTTAACAACGGATTCTACCATCAAATAGCAGAGAGGGCCCTGCCCCAGCTCCTGGGGTTGCTGACCTCCTTAGTCTGAGCTTGCTCCCTGGAGAGAGGGCTCCACTGAGCTTGTAATTGCTGGATGAACCATTCATTTTCCCCACCCTAGGGATGTGAGCTCAAGGTCAGAGCTAGCTTTCCCAGGCAGGTCAAGGACGAGCTCCAAGATAGGATTCTTGCTTAAGGAGGGGGGCTGGAAGAGCCAGGTTCTGGACTGGAGGGATCACACCTTCCAGGGATCTGGGATCTGTGCCATCAATCCCCTAAGAACCAGGATTAGGTGTGAGGGTGCTTTGGCTTTGTGCCCTGACAGGAGGAAGCACCCTTCTCCACTGCTGTCTCTGCCCTCCCTGGAGGGGAGGCCTGAGGTCGGAGCAGGCTCGGCTATAGCAGGCTTGGGCCTGTGGCAGCATTCTTCAATAGCTCCAATTGAGGCTACTCGCCCCCAGGTTACAGCCCACAGACTTTGACAAGTCTGGATCCTATCCAACTCCCTGCCTCCAGCCTGTCCAGCAAGCTCTCAGGTCCTGCAGCCCTAGTTCTTCACCCACCTGCTACAGGCACAGGGCCCAGCAGAGTGGAAGACAGAAGTTGCATCGCCCAGAGAAAGGCTCACCTGGCACAAGAGGCAGATCCCTAGACCCGAGGAGCGCCAGTCCACCCAGGTCCACTGTCCTATACCATCTCCTTTTCTCTGGGACTTGTGGGTCTCTAGGGTACCCAGGGGACTCTCTGCCCAGGGCCTATAGGAAGATGCCCTGAAAAAACTGCTGGATGATGCTCCAGTTCACGGTTGGCAAATGTGGCCCCCAAGGGAAAGTGTCTTGCCCGGATTCTGGGGGCTTCAAGGCCCACTCTTTTGTCTCCTGACTCCCAGCTTCCTCGGGCCCTGAGTACAGACACCCAGTCACCTGTCCTGAAGGCCCACTGACCCTGGGAACCTGGGTCAAACCCGAGGCCTGTCCAGGCTCCTGCCCTCTCTTGGCCCTCGACGCCGACCCTAGGTGGTGCGGGCGGAGAGCCGAACCCTGCGCTCCAAGCTCAGGTACCCCTGAGGCGGGTGGGCTCCGCAAGAGGTAGCGCAGGGCACAGATGGTTGCATTCCCGCACGCGTGGGTCGGGGCGGGGCGGAGAGGAGCCGCGGGAGCCTCACCTGATGAGCGCGGTGGAGGTCCCGGCCAATAGGCCGAGGGCGAGCAGCATGAGGACCGGGGGCTGCATGGCGGCGGCGGCCGTGTCCGAGCCCAGCGCCTAAGGTTGCTCGCTTATAGCAGGGATGACGGCGCAGTCAGAACGAGTCAGCTGACCGGCTTGTTTGCCCCGAGCCTGTCACGTGGGTCAAGGACAACGGAGCTGAGGGCGGGGACGGGGCGGGGCGACCCTGGCTGCGTCCGCCTCGTCTGTCCCGGCGCAGGCGCGCTCTGTCCGGCCTCGCCCTGCCGGCGCCCGCCTCTAGACCTAAAACGCAGTTTCCAGTTTCTTGGGATCCGCCGGAACCGGGCGCGCGTAGCCCCTGCCGGGGGGAGGGGAGCGAGTCCCAGCCCGCTTCCCCACCTGCTTCTGCTCAGAGTCGGATCCCCAGGCCGATCCCTCTCGCGGGTCACCTTACCCTGGTGAATCTCCCAGGACGTGCACTGGGCTTCTAGACGGGCCTCAACCTCCTGCCCCCATTTCCTCAGAACCGGCGCTTCTCTTGGCAGTGTTGGGGCTCCCTGAACCCCATCCCTGGGGCTGGGCCCTCGCCATCCCTAACATGGCACTGACTACGGGAGGGCCTGCCGTGAAAGGACACTGAGCGGAGTCAGATAAAGGATCAGGTCGCCCAACACCTACAAGCGGCCTCAGTCTCTGATTGCGGGAAGCCTTGGTCCTTGGGGACTTTACAGGTCACCTGTATTTGTCACAGGGCGTGGTGTGGGGAGCTGATTTAAGTGTTGTCTGTGGAGAAGGGCCCCTCAAGAAGGACATGTAAGGGGATGTGAGGTCTGTGGGGGTCTTCCCTGAGAGGTCATTGTATGCTGAGGAACCTTCTGGGGCCCCTTCCAGCGACCAGGTTGATAGGCACTCCCTGACCCCACTTCACTGGGAGACAGACTTGTGGGACTGCCTAACTTTGTAATCTTAAATTCCTAGTCTCAAGTGTGATTAATGTAAATTAACAGGTGAACGTTTAGTAGTTCTGGGTAAATAGATAAAGATTGTTTCACTCCTTGTCTACCCAGAAGGAATGTTTTGAAAACCTTGGGACATTCTGTAAGCATCTTGAGTATAGACCCCCACCCTGCCTATCCCCTTATAAAAAGGACCTCAGCCCCTGAGCTGGCTCTTCTCGGAGCTGCTTGGCTCCAGGAGAGCCGTCTGGCCAGACTAATAAAGGTCTGTTTTCCAACTAGTCTGGTGTGTTCCTTCCTGGGTGATTCTCGCTGCCCATCAAACTCCTGGAGCCATCGCTGGGCTATAGGCCCCAGGATTGTGGAGGCCCTTTTTGGCTGTTAACGGCTCCTGGAAGTAAGGCCCTGGGACTTGTGTCTGGGCCTTCTTTGGGCTATGGGACTCAGCATTGTGGAGGCCTTTTGGCTGTTCACACTCCGTGGAGTGGAAGTGAAACTTTAGGTCTTACAGACTGAGCTGCTGTGCTCCGACAGGTGGGCTTGGCATTTCCATCTTTTCTATAACCAACTGAATTGGCCTCCCCCTGGGTCATTCTGATGGCCCCAGATGAGTGGCCACAGCCTGGACCCTGCCTACATACCCAGTGTTCCAAGTGGTTTTTTTCCTATAAGTGAGGTTAAGAGTTTATTTGCCCTGGAATCTCACCCCCACTGCTAGGGGTCCAAGGTTGTCCTTGGAGCAGTCCAAAGTAGGCTTGGCACCTGAAGTCCTCACTTTTCTCCTTGTAGGCTCCTCTTTAAGAGATAACAGCTGGACTCTGGATGGACTGGCAGGGGTAGAAGGTCTCTTCAATTGTGCTGGGCCTGAAGCCCTGCAGTGGACAATGAAGTGTGTCCCAAGATCCTCATGTGCAAAAGAGGCATTAATGAGGCCACCAGAGAGAATGGGCATTGTAGACAGCATGACCAGACACAGGACAGGGTGGTCAGCTGTGGAGTCTGTGGTGCTGGTGAGGACCATGGGGAGCTACTGAGAAGGCAGCTGAACCTATAGGCATCTGTAGTGCTTTCCTACAGAGAGATCTGCCTGTTCATCCCATGGCTTCCCCACACCTAGAGCAGAGCCGAGCATGTGGAAGGTTCCCCGTATAATCTAGGAGGGATGAATGCCTAGATGAAGATCCAGGAGGGAATGGCCCACAGCAGCCTTGGACATGGTTTCTGTTCCTTTCTCTACCCATTTGCCCAGTCAGATTCCTCCTACTAGGCTTGGATTCTCCCACTTGCAGATCCAAGGCTGTCACAGAATCGAGATCAGGCAGAGCCTGGCTATGCTGATCAACTGGAACATGCCCTGCCTCCCTGCCCAGCTCAGACCCCAGGACACTGTTGCACCTGCTTCGCTGAGCCCGGAGTCCCTCTGCCACCTTTAGGACCCCTTGGGTGGTGGAAGGGATTGTGTCCAGGCCTGCAATTCTGTCTTGAGTCCAGTCTGTGATCTAGGGATCCCTCATCCTGGCCTTGCCCTGCATTTGGGAGAGTGCAGGGGACAAGGCCCTGTTTGGGGCATTGTTGTTGTGTTAATTGTGGTAGACTTGGAGGTATTCTTTGGCCTTCAGCTGCACAGAGGGGTTTATTGGGGATCCAAGGGTCCCAAGCCAAGAAGGCTACACCTGGCAGGGACGTGAGATCAGTCTCTTGTGCAGCCTGGAGGGAGGGACGAGGCAGGTGTGGAGGCTGGCTTGTGTTCCATGGTAGTGTAACTGGATCCCTCTAGCTCTTGGTCAGGTCCTTGTTTGGGAGCAACGAATATTAAAAAGCTGACAAAACAGCAAACAGCAAGTGGTGGAGAATGGCCAAATGTGTGTTTATTAGAAAGAATAAAAAAAATGCTCTCAGGGCCGGGGATTTAGCTTAGTGGTTCTGCTGCCTGCCTCCCAAGTGCAAGGATCTGAGATCGATCCCCAGTAACCAAAAAAAAAAAAAAAAAAAAAAAAAAC